CCTCCCTTCCCCTTCCCTCCCTTTCACCCCTCCCCTTCCCTCCCTTTCTCCCCTCCCTTTCCCTCCCTTTCTCCCCCTCCCCTTTCCCTCCTTTCTCCCCTCCCTTTCCCTCCCTTTCTCCCCCTCCCCTTCCCCTCCCTCCCTTTCTCCCCTCCCTTTCCCGCTCCTTTCTCCCCTCCCCTTTCCCTCCCTTTCTCCCCTCCCCTTTCCTTCCCTTTCTCCTCACGCCCTTCCCTCCGCTTTCTCCCCTTCCCCTTCCCCTTCCGTCCTTCTCCCCCTCCCCCATCCTCCTCTCAAACCTCTTCATCACCCAATCACGCATTCCCCAAATCCCCTTTTCCTTAAATAAAGAACAAAAACAAAAGACACACACAAAACCACCACGCTACCTGACTCCCTCCTCCTCCCCTCCACCCTTCCTCTCCCTTCTCCCTCCCATCCCCCTCCTCCTCCTGTGAGGTAACCAACCTTCCCCCTTCCCCTTCCCCCCCCCCCCCTTCCTCGGCTTGCCTTCGCCTCCCTTCCCCCCTGACACGCTCCTGCAGGTGTGCCAAATACAGTTCACTCCCCCCTCGGGCACAAGGCAGGAGACACCAGCAGGAGGAGGCCGAGCGAGCAGGAAGCACAGGCGGGGGTTATCAGACGGCGAGCAAAGGCGAGCTAAGGCAAGTTAAGGTAAGCTAAGGCGAGTTAAGGCGAGCTAAGGCAAGTTAAGGTAAGCTAAGGCGAGCTATGGCGAGCTAAGGCAAGTTAAGGCGAGTTAAGGGAAGTTAAGGCAAGCTAAGGCGAGCTAAGGCGAGCTAAGGCAAGGGTTATCAGACGGCCAGTTAAGGCAAGCTAAGGCAAGCTAAGGCAAGTTAAGGCAAGTTAAGGCAATCTCCAGGCGAGGAGGCGGCGAGTATCGGAGAACATATCAGATTGAAGAACAAAATAAGGACAGGTAGGAGGACAAATGAGTATTGGAGAACGTACGTAAAAGAAGAACAAGCAGGACAAATGAGTATTGGAGAACGTACGTGAATGAAGAACAGAAAGAGACACAAGCAAGAGGCCGAGCGAGTATCGGAGAATATGCCTGAATGAACAAAAAAAAAAAAAAAAAAAAAAAGAACACACGCGAGTATCGAAGAACATGCGTTGACTGAAGAACAAACGACACCAAAGAACAAAAACAAGAACACAAGCAGGAGACCAAACGACACCAAACAACAACCAAAAAAACAACGAACAAGCAGCAGGCCGAGCAGGAGCAGGAGCAGGAGCAGGAGCAGGAGCAGGAGCAGGAGCAGGAGCAGGAGCAGGAGCAGGAGCAGGAGCAGGAGCAGGGTCCCACAGGCAGCGCTCGACGGCCTCTTCCTCGGACGCTCGGAGAGTCCTCCTCGGCGCGTCCTTCGAGTCCACGCCCAGGCATTTCCATTATCGTCTTCTACGCTTTTCCCTCCTCTTCCTTATTCTGATCTTCCCTCCCTCTTCTTTATTCTGATCTTCCTCCTTCTTCTTTATTCTGATCTTCCCTCCCTCTTCTTTATTCTGATCTTCCCCTTTTCCCCTCCATTCTTTGTTTGTTTGTATCTCTTCCTTATTCTGACCTTCCTTCCCCCCTATTATTTGTTTGTTTGTATCTCTTACTTATTCTGACCTCCCTTCCCCCTCACCTTATTCTTTCTTCGTTTGTCTTTTCCTTCTTCTCACCTTCCTCCCCCTATTCTTTCTTCGTTTGTCTTTCTTCCTTTTCCCCTCCTTTTCTTTCTTCGTTTGTATCTATTCCTTATTCTCACCTTCCTTACCCTCCTTTCTATTCATCCTTCGTCCATTCTTCCTTCGTAATGTTCCTCAGGACCTCTCCCTCCTCCCTCCCTCTCACCCTCCCTCACCCTCTCTCCCCTCACCCTCCCCTCCTCTCTCCCTCCCTCCCCTTCCCTCCCTCTTCCTCCCCTCCCCCTTCCCTCCTCTCCTCCCTCCCTCTCCCCTCCCCTCCACCTTAAACACCTTCCCAANCCGGAGCAACTAGTCTTAATCCACTTTTTTCCTGCAGGTAGTGTTTTTATCTAGTATGCCAAACGAAGGTTGTTTGTTGTTTAACAGACATCACACAGACCTAATCACATACGTACAGATGTGCTCACGCAAATGCAGCCATGCCCCCACACACCCACACAGGGACATGTTAGCCCATTGGCATCCGGATGCTTCAGTGTCATTACATGGCTCAAAATCTGAGCATTAGGCTTACTTGAGTGGCTACTTTGCTGGGTGTGTAACTTGTAGGCCCGGCACGCACAAATACTTGTGTTGGGTGACAAGACTCCATGCTTCCCATTTACAATGTTATTTTATCTTTTTCTGGATTCCCCCCTCCTCCCTATTTTCTCCTGTCTATATTTGTCATTTGACTTGCTTAATTCCAGTGGTAATACTATTTTTCTTACAGACTCCATATCAAATCAAATCCATAATAGTTCATTTTCTGTAATACAACCTGCACTGTCAGTCATGATGGGCAGGAATATGACCCTGATCATGAAAACTCCATCCTCCCCAGAGCCAGCACTCTTCCAGTCATGGCTCACTGATGGTACATTCCGCACTAAATGCCCATAGAGTCTGATCACCCTCCAATAGCTTTGTGTATTAGTGGCAAGTTATATCTGTCACCTCAGCCATCAGCGAAAATTCTTGTGGTGGGCAATTTCTGTCACCCTGGCCCTCAGCCATATTTTCCCATGATGGCATGTTCACATCAACTGCCCCTCAATCCAAATTTTATCGTGACGTGATGGTTACGTCATCCGGATGAATGGGGTTAACAAACAGACAAATCCACATGGGTTAGTTCACAGTTGACAAAACCACATGCTAGCACATGCATGCTGACATTGCTGACACGTGGACATGACACGTGGACAAGCCCACATGCACACGTGCCCACATGCTGAACGTGGACAAGCCCACATGCTGACACGTGGACAAGCCCACATGACACGTGGACAAGCCCACATGCTGACACGTGGACAAGCCCACATGACACGTGAGGTGCCACATGCTGACACGTGGACAAGCCACATGCTGAACGTGACAAGCCCACATGCTGACACGTGGACAAGCCCAACATGCTGACACGTGGACAAGCATGACACTGACAAAGCCCACATGTGACAAGCCCACATGCTGACACGTGGACAAGCCACATGACACGTGGACAAGCCCACATGCTGACACGTGGACAAGCCCACATGCTGACACGTGGACAAGCCCACATGCTGACACTGGACAAGCCCACATGCTGACACAGTGGACAAGCCCACATGCTGACACGTGGACAAGCCCACATGCTGACACGTGGACAAGCCCACATGCTGACACGTGGGACAAGCCCACATGCTGACACTGGACAAGCCCACATGCTGACACGTGACAAGCCCACATGCTGACACGGTGGACAAGCCCACATGCTGACACGGGACAAAGCCCACATGCTGACACACAAGCCCACATGCTGACAGGCATGCCAAACTCTCAGACACACATGCTGACAGGCATGCCAACTCTCAGACACACATGCTGACAGGCATGCAACTCTCAGACACACATGCTGACAGCATGCCAACTCTCAGACACAACATGCTGACACGGGGACAAGCCCACATGCTGACAGGCATGCCAACTCTCAGACACACATGCTGACAGACAGATGCATGTAGATTCAAACAGTTGTAGACACATATGGACATATGCACAGACACTCCAGCACATACAAGCACATTTCCAGATCTTTTTGTTTTGCCCCCCCCCCCCCTTCTTTTTTTCCTTTTTTTCTTTTTCTTTTTTCAAAGTTTATCAGAAAGGGATTTTATATTTTGGTTCCATTGTTATTACTAATGTCTGATGTTTTTGCTTTCAGTGAGTGGATTGGGTAATTTGCTTGGAGGTGGAGTAAATCTGACCTTAAATCTGAGCTCAGCCTATCCCAACGGAGGTGCCGGGAACCCCGTGGTTACCGGACAACTGTTAGAGCATGTACGCTCTCTCCTGCGCTCGTCGGGCTTTGCTGACCAGTCCAATGCTGAAGTGTGTCAGGCCATTAGCACTCTGATCAACTATGGTATCATAGGCCTGGGGCTTGGTCTCGGGAATCCCTCTGGTCACCAGGGCGGGCAAGGTGGGCAAGGACAGCAGGGGCAAGGAAATATGGGGAACATGAATATAAACATGAACAACTCAAATAACCCAAATGACTCTTATCATGGCTCATCAATGAGTAATGGGAACAATGGCCCTTTTGGGCCCATAGGCACAACAGTTGCATCAGGCCTTAACCTTGGACAGGGTTTAGGGGGACCAACATCTCCTCAGCGACAGGTGGACCGATTCAACTCAGAACCCCCATTTGATCCCTTTCGTCGACAGTCGACAGAGATGGGGGCGAGCCTTCCGCTGAACAGTAATTCTTTTGGGCTGGGGACCCCTTTAAGGAAGAGCCCCTCTCCAGGAGAGCTTCCTCCAGGAGCACCAGAAGGTAGCAAGAAAGTTGAGATGGAGGTTGGTGAGCACATTGTTGGCGCTATCTTGGGCCCCGGGGGAAAGTCCCTGGTAGAAATACAGCACATGTCCGGCACCACAATACAAATCTCCAAGAAGGGTAACTATGCACCTGGTACTCGTAACCGCATTGTCACCATCACGGGTCTACCTTCAGGCATCACAACGGCGCAGTTTCTCATTGAACAACGCATCTCTGATGAAGAGGGCAAGCGTGCCCGCCAGAATGCCATTATAGGGGTCATGCCTTAAATCACCCACTTTTCATTTCTTCCATTTCATCCATAGTTAATTTGACCTCTGTCGGGGGGCTTGAAATAGATTTGCGCACACCATTTCCTCTTGCCCATCTAGTTATAGTGATGAGTGTTTACATGTTTGGCGAGTCTTTTTATATGAATTACAAGAATTTCAAGCTCCACATCTGTCATCAAAAACTTAGGTGCTTTTCAGTAGACCATGCAGGATTATATATGTATATATATATATGTATGTAAATCCATTGCTTGGATTATTCATTATAAAGTGATCTGATACTTTTTTTTTCTCATTCTTTTATAACTGACAAGCACCTTGCATTTACAGTATAGGTCACAGCAGTTCATTTCTTCTTCAAAATCCTGTGTTCAAATGTCACCCCATAATCAGGCATAACCATTACATACGTTTCATAATTGACCATTTCTATTCTTAAATTTCCCCAGTCACCAACTACAGTTGTTTGCCAGCATTATGCACTATGTTTGTATAGAAGAGAGCAACTGTGAGTAACCATTGTTCATTGTCCAAATATGTACAGATGAATCATAGTTGTGTGAAGGCAAGTAGTATACATGAATTTGTCATTTTTAAAATTCATTTCATTGTGCAATGGATGCTGCTGAGTTAACCTTAAAAGTGGATGTTGCCTGGGGCTACAATACTTCACAGTTGGTGGTTCTGCTTAAAGGAAGCTGATCCTCATGCCCAGCGCTATATGACCGCATTTCTAATCCAGACATGTTGCTGTATTTTGTTTACTTTGTTACAATTTATATTTATATTGCTTGGTTTTTCACTTGAGAATTCAGTTGTTTTAAAACTGTTCTCTGGTTCTGCTTTTAGGTTCATTTAAGGCGAAATTGCTTTGTTTAAAGTTGGCAACTATGTCTGGATTCTAATGACTCACAACCATCTCTTTGTCTGCGGTCAGAAAACATCCTACATAGCAATTCATATCATGTGGTATGAATGATGGCAACTTGTGACTCATGTTGAGTTTGATTATGCTGCTGCCAGGGTTTCTACCTGGACTAGGCTACACTGGGAGAGGTAGTACAGGTTTCCCAGAGAGAGACCTCTTTGGTATCATTGATAACATGTTTTAGGTCCCTTTTTGTGAGAACAATGTACTAGGGTGGGCAGTAACAGGTGTTATGAAGCTAGAGTTAACGAGGGCGGGAAGCCGCACGGGCCTCATAGATATCCCATACTTAATAGCACCCTCATTAAGTGGCTAAGTTTGAAAAAAAAAAATTGCAATTAAAGTGTATTGTGTGCATGTAGATTAATTTTCCCTGGTAATAAACTTATAAGTTCCTTATAAAAGTAAGTCATAGACTGCCATTTGTTAAATCTTTTAGAAGATTTATTAGGATTTTTTTCTTTAAAGTTTCTCTGAACCAGGGGATAGCCAAAAACATTTTATCATGCATCTTTCCTCATTAAATATCATAGCTCTACAAACCTTGTAAAAAATTGGCAATAAATGTGTATCCATTAGCGGCCAAGACTTTCCATATCAGCCTTTATCAACCAGTTTCACCGCACCAAACTGACATCCCAGCGCCCTGAAAGTCTTGAACATATGACCTTCAGGGCGCAGGCAACCAAACCTTCATCATGCATTCTATTAAGTCACGCCTCATGACACTGGAAGCACCGCCAGATGACAAAGTCAGTTTGTTGCGGCATGCTTATGACAACATGTGACCGACGTACATTGACTCCATCTCCTCCTGCAATATCGTTGAAGCTGTCACAGTAAGTAGAGTAAGAATCCCGGTACAAGGGAAGCAAGCTTATGACAACTGACTAGAGTCAAAAGGTGGTAAAACACGGTTAGGGAAGGTCCAATGCTGCAGGTGATCATTTCACCCACATATATGCATATCAGGAAGGTTGGGGGGCCTGGGAATGGGTTGGGATCAGGACATTCATTAGCTTGTAGCATTCATTTTCCTTCAGTGATATGCTATATATTGACTTATAATGGTAATAATGTCTCACAGGAATCCTACGAGTGATGCACAGCACCCCAAGTAATTATGACGTTCTTTTCTCTCCCGTTTCCATAACTAGATAATGGGTGACCCCAATGTCTTGAATGATGATTAAGCTGGTGTGTATGTGTGGAGCTGACAGTGCCAGGCTGTGGTGGTGGCGGCGGCAGGAGGGTGAGAGACTCCACGCAGGCTCGGCACTCCTCTCCACACAGGTAGTGATTCTGCCTCACTCCACCTCCACCCCCACACTCCATCTCCACCCCTCCCTCCCTAATCTCACTTACCTCTGGCCTCATGTCTATATTGTGCCGGCCTCTTGTGCCTGGTGCTCACCCCTGACCTCTCTTTAATATCCTTGTCAGGGAGTAATGTGGTCTCGAAGTGAACGTCTCACAATTTTTGATGTGTAGCTTGCTCGTAAGGGATGCTCCTATGAATCTTCATCAATTATGTGAAAAAGTATGCATTCTTTTTAAGATTTTCATTAACTTGAAAATGAAAGAAAACAAAAAAGAAAGAAGAAAAAACTCAGGGCTTTTATTTTTGTGTACAGGGAACGTCTTCAGGGAACAATCTGGTAAAAAAAGGTTGAACTTGTGGCTTGAAATTTCTGTTCCATCTTTGATATTAATAGGAAATAGAGGATCCAAGAATATTTCATGTAGCTGCTTTTGCAATAGTTGGTCATGGGTGAAACAGTGGGCCAAAAGGTCATTTACATTTGGTCAGGGGTTTTATTGGGTCATGCTGGGTAGCATCACAAGTGGAAAAAAGGGACGGTAAAGATGAATGATATAAACATTGTGAGATAATGTATAGACTTGACTAACTCTTTATTATGTTTATTATTATTGTCATCATTTTTTGCTTGCAGTTCTTAATGTCCTCTGGAAAAACCAGTGTACAGTTTCTGATGAAAAAGGTGAAAATATGTACATCTATATAGTGATGCTATCAGGTGTGTGTTTCATCATCATTTATTCACACATTCTCCCTGTTTCTTGTGATAACATCATTAATTGAATTACATGAGACATCATTCTTAGATATGCTGACATTTATAGTCATTCATATATTTTACTAAAAGAAAATGATCACCGTCTTAAAAAGATGGACTTTGTAACAGTTCTTGGAACAAACCTCTTTCCCTTGCTTTGTTTATATATATTTTGACTATTTATTTATTTATTATTTTTCCTAGAGAATTGAACTAAAAAATGCAACTTAAGGGAACTTTTTGAAATGCTTAGAAATCTGATATTGTTTGCCATATACTGAAAGTCAAGAATTGATTTTCTTTTCCTTGACGAGGGAGAACAACCAAATTCATAGATGCCAACATTTTACAGTTTTATCAGGTTTCGTCATGTGTGGTCACCATCTACACACAGGCATTGTGGCATGCTGGTTGTGAAGAGGTTTGGTGCTGCTGGGCATTGCTTGAGTGGAGTGAGGATGAAAGCTGGTAACGCTTGAGTACAGGTCATGTTGGAGGTGCTGTCGTGTGCCCACCCAAATGGATCTCGGATATTGAAATTTTGCCGCTGGTAGGAAAGGAAGATCCTTCTGGGAATGGATATAGATCAGAGAGAAACATATTGTGTGTAGAAGGAAGAAATATATGTTGTTGTCTTTCTTTTATTAATCTATATCCTGTTTCTTCTACTTGGATATTTCTTTGGTTGGATATATTTGCAGTCTGGTCTTTATTTTTTTACAGATTAGATGCTGTAAATTAATTTGAAGCTGTGATGGCATGACATAATGCCAGTTTAGATCATGAAGGATGTACACATGCAATATTTTTTTTTCTTTTTTATGGGGGGGGGGTCTGTTACGTATTTTGAATTTGTTTTGAAAAAACACCATTATTGTGGTGAAATTTTATTCTTTAACAATTACTACATTTTTTAAATATAAGAGAATGCTGCTCTCATAGAAAATTTTATAGTTTTTTTTTTTTATCATGGAGACGGTGTAGAGTCAAGGTTAATCAGAGAAGTTTTTGAGTATTTGATTTCCAGTTGACTGGGTAACTTGGTTAACAAGCTTCAAAGTATTGGTATTTTTTTATGAATTGCCGTATCTTTGGCTTTTTCATAAATTAATTTCTTTAATGTATGTTGTGTTCCTACCATAGCTTGAGTAACTGCTCAGTACAAGAATCCTTAGAAAAAAATGACTAAAGATCTAGCATTCTGTCCAGAGAAGAGTGCAATCGCTTTTCATTTCCCATCTGATTCTGTTAAACCATGGTGAATGATGGGCCAGTTAATGGATTAATTGTTTTAAGGAAAGCTGTAATGCAGTTCAGATATTTATCCTAATCTTCAGTTTATCGTAGGTGCAAACTCGCCAAATACCCTCAAGAAGAAATAATAAGAAAATGATGGAATGTAGATAGAGAATTCTGCAATATCGTTGGATAAATATGAAAACCTTTAACACACGTTTAACCATATACCATACCAAAAATAGAACATGCATAATAACATACCACTCAAAATACACAAACATAAACATGAACTTTTAACCTTATTTTTGGGAAACTTTATGAAATATATATATATATATATATTTATATAAGATAAACTGTCAGTGACCTTCAATCTATTTTGTACAACAAAAGTGTAACCTAAAGGTTTGGAGATAAAGTGGTAAGTAATTATTTTTACTCCCTCGGCTTAAGGAAGCTTGAGTAAATATTTCACATTCAGTATTCGTGGGTGGAGGGAAATACAACTGTGACTCGAGGTTTGGTGAAGGAAATTAACTTTAAAGTTAAAGGGGAATTTAAGCATTTTCATTGTGAAAAAACTGCAGACATCTATGTAGTAAATACATGGACATGCACCGACACTTGTTTCACAATCATTCACACTAACTTTTGCTATTTCCCTCATCATTTTTTCTCCTAATTTATTTTTGTAATTTATTAAAGATTTTTAAAATATTCATTATTTTAAATTCACTTCCACCTTCATTAGGTCTTAAACGAAGGAGAACATTGATATCATGAATATTGTTTTAGAGAATGGGCAGGTCAGACAGCAGTTCATCTCTTTAATTGTAACACGGACACACATTAACAATCTCCCTCACTTAACTCATGAAATCAGCACGTAAACATCAAGCATCGAGTTGTTAGCACCCTCTCTAAGAAGGGCACATTCTTTGATCATCCTTAGGCAACGAAATATGTTGAGCACATTGTTTATCTACTGAAGTGCTTAAGGACTATGATGTATCAAATGTTGATTTTTTTGGTTAAATATATATTTTATATTGAATTCCAAGTTTTCTATATCCTGCTGTGTGTGAACTGAATTGTTCTTACCGAGTTGGAAATATACTTTTTTTTAAAGAATATTTGTTCAAGTATAGATTGTCTTGACTTATTATTCCTTAATGCAGTAAAAACCTATAATTTACTTTTTATACAATGATGTGTGTAAATAAATCATAGCTGCCACCCCAATGCCCTGCCAGACTAACCTCAATCACCGTCTTAAATTACAATTGATTTAGTAGCAATTTATACATAACTATGAGAACGACACTAGCGTTTCATTAGGTGTTGTACTGAAATCTCTCCTCTGGAAAGGAAATTACCTTTCATAGTTATGTGATGGTTATTGATTAAAACAAATAAACCTTGCACATTTGTGTTTTAGCTATTATACATTATGTAAAAAAAAATTCTATTGTAAATGAGAGCCTTGAGTACAAATCCTTAGTATACCATGTATGTCCTCTTGTATCATGCAGTCATAGGGTAAATGTTGATGCATTTTGGTCATCCTTGTGCCTGTCAGTAAGAATTGCAATAATATAGTTAGAAATTGGGGCAAATATGGGTAGTTTTGGGGACACCTTTGACGGTTACACTTTTTTTTCAAAATGTGCAGGAGTGAAGGTTATGTTAAATGAAGGATTAGTGAAAGAGAAAGGAAACATCAGGGATTAGAATAACGGAAGAATATTAGAAGAATCTTAAGACAGTAAGTGGCGTTATATCGTAGTAAAAAAAAAAAAAAAAATTGAAGATTTTAATGATTCACATGTGATTTTATAATGTCTTTGTAGATGAATAATGGGAACATTGAGTTTTTTTTATGAATTGTAAATGATTTTATTGTAAACCTTGCGGATATGACGTTGTCAGCCAAAAAATGTTGGTTGCACTTAGTGGGAATTCTTACAATAAATACCTTGGTTTCAGATTTTTACAGACTAAGATTTGCAGGGGGGAAATCGAACTTACGTACAAAATATATTTTAAAAATAGCTTTATCTGCTTCGCAAACTACTTAAAAGTATTTCAAGTCGTGGGCGCAGCATCGATGTTGTCTGCCTTCATTGACCTATAAGCAACGATTACTTGACTTCCGCCTTACAGCTATCATCTTAATAAAAATCATTCATATATGCGTGGGACAGCCCAAGGGAACCCCGCAGGTGGATGATGGGTCACGCATCCCACAGCCCCCTTTTATATGGAGCAGAGATGGCGTCCACCCGGAGTAACTGCCCGAGGTTAAACTCCAGGGTGGGGGCTTGGGACATTCGTTCTTTGCGTCATGATGATCGGGTGCCTCTGCTGTCGAGGGAACTGGGGAGGCTGAGAGTTGGGGTAGCTGCTCTCTCGGAGGTGAGAAGACCTGGCAGCGGCACGGTCAGTGTAGGTGGCAACACCTATTACTGGTGGGGCCGCAGCGACGGTCACCATCTTTAGAGAAGCCATAGTCATCTCCAGCAGACTCCAACCCGCGATAGTAGAGGTTACTCCAGTCGATGAGCTTATAATAGTAATGAGACTGAAGCGAGCATTTGGATTCATGTCTTATTGCTGTGCACGCTCCTACCGATGTTTGTAAACTTGACGTGAAAGAGATGTTCTACGCCAAACTAGCATTGCGTTAGAATTGTCCCCGGCGAGATATTCGTATTGTTCTGGGTAACTTCAATGCGGTATATGGATGTGATCGAGCTGGCTATGAGATGTCTGTCGGTCCCCATGGTTCGGGAGCTGGTGCCGGCAGCGAGAATAGCCTCCTTTTCCGAGATTTTGCAAGGTCCCAGAAATTGAGGATTTCTGGCTCCAGGCAGCAGAGCCCAGATCCATGTCGTTGGACGTGGTACAGCGATACGAATAATGCAGCCAATGAGATCAACCACATACTCGCTAGCACACGTTGGAGGATCCTCCAGAACTGCAGGGTGTATAGGAGTACCGAGTTCTGTGGTACTGATCATAGATTGGTTGTGGCTATCCTCCGGGTCCACTTCAAAACCCCAGCGGTCCAATGATCACCCTAGGGTGTTTCACTTGGACAGGCTGAGGGAGGGGGAGTGTGCTCGGGGTTTGCCGAGGCATTCTCTGGTTGTTTCGCAGCGCTCGACAATCTGCCACCCTGTACTTGTGTGGGAAACGCTTGATGCAGCTCAAGAAATGATTGGTGAACGCCCGAGACAGAATTTCATCTCGCAGACAAGACGCCACAGGTGCTTGTCGTGGGGCTCATCGGACAGGGGATCAGGATTTGCACCGTTCTCAGGTGCGGAGAACTCGGTCACTGTTAAGAAGGGACAAGGAACAGTTTATTAGGTCTTGCAGAGGATGTCGAAGGCCACTTCTTTGTAAATGACCTTCGTCCTGCATACCAAGCCCTGGAAAAGCTGAACTCCCAAGCCCTCTTTACAGGTGACAGCAGTTCTCTTAGTAAGTGGCTAGATCGTTTTAGATCCTGTTAGGGTGCGGGAGCGCTGGGCTGAGTATTTTGAGCAGTTATACCTGGTTGACCCACCAATAGTTAACTTGGATGCAGGTAGTGCCGAGATTCCGTTGCCGGGCCTACCCATCAGTGAAGATCCACCGAAATTAGGGGGGCGATCTCCAAGCTGAAGAGTGGTAAAGCAGCAGGTATATGCGGCATCCCAGCTGAACTGATTAGGCTGGTGGTGAACCCATGGCGCGGGGGTTGCATTATGTCCTGGCTGCCATCTGGCGGCCTAGTATCACCCCCCTGACCTGTTGAGGGGTGTGGTCATCCCTCTCTGGAAGGGGAAGGGGGGCCGATGGGACTGCAGCAACCATCGATGCATCACACTGCTCATTATACCAGGCAAGGTTCTCGCCCACATCCTTCTCAGACGTATCAGAGACCTCCTAATGAGGCGCCAGAGGCCAGAACAATCTGGATTCACTCCTGGTAAGTCCACAATAGACCGTATCCTCGCGCTTTCGAGTCATGTAGAGTGCCGTCGTGAGTTTGGGCGTGGGCTGCTTGCAGCATACATCGACCTCAAGAAGGCGTTCAATACGGTGCATCGGGAATAATTCTGGGAGATCCTGAGACTGAGAGGAATTCCAGCAAGGATTATTGGACTAATAGCAAGTCTGTATACTGGTACAGAAAGTGCTGTAAAGTGTGTGTGTGTGGGGGGGGGGGCTGTTGAGCTTTCCTGTTAGTTCAGGAGGGAGGCAATACTGTGTCCTTGCACCAACACTTCAACACTTGCATGAACTGGATACTGGGCAAAGCTACTGTTCAAAGTCATAGTGGAACAACTATGGGCAATATCAAGGTTACCGACCTTGACTTTGCAGATGATGTTGCTATTCTATCCGAATCCTTGGAATCCTTAGAGGTGGCTCTCGATGCATTTAGGAATGAAGTGAAGCTCTTGGGGTCTGGACCAAGACCAAGCAGGATTTTGGGGACTGGCTAGGAGAACCTACTCGATCGGTACATGCTTGCAGCGAGGACATTGAAGTCACAGAGAGCTTTACATACCTTGGTAGGGTGGATGCGGCTATGCGCCCCTGTCGGCGTTAGCTCCATGATTATGGTGATGATAATGATTAATATATGTAATGATGTTGCCCATGACAATAATAATCTTGATGAAGATAATAGAAATAAGAATGATAATAAGGATGAGAATTATAATAAAATAATGATACGGGATGAGTATTAAATTATAATAATGATAATGGCATAATTACAATAATAATACATAAATAACTGTAATTTCGCAAACTATTCCCATTTCGTTACTAAATATCGATAGGACCGTGGAATTCCATGAATTTTGCAGACAAGCAAGTCAAAGAAAACATTCTGCTCAATCTTAGTAATATTAGTAATTATCATCATCAGCATTATTATAAATCATTAATATAATTTGTATAAAAAAGAAATGGTAATATTTCAGGATTTGTGGAGCTTTATTCGAAGGATTGCTTGCTGCCCATCAGACGCACCTCCGGCTGCGACTCGACTTCGACAGTGTTTATTCGACTGTCTGCCTTATAATTAACGTATTTAGTACAATTATGAATCTTTTTCTTATAAAAATCATCGTATACTATATCTTATGAGTTTAAAGGCACCTGAGTCACGTAAAGGAATCCAAATAATTATTTATCCCCCGTGTATAAATGCTGCCGTCGAGTCAGTTGCATTACATTTCCTTGACTCTCGTAAGCCTAAAAATAAACATACATTTCTATATAATCTTACACTTTCCACTTGTTTTATTGTACAATATACTTAAATACTCCTTAAATAGGCAAATGAATTACACAAAAAATACTAGTCTTTGCCATTTTACCTGTTCGGCAATGGGTCACGCACGCGCTGGTGAGCCTAATGGACAGGCTGGTACGCTTGTGTGGGCAGAGCATAGACGAAGTTATATGAAATTGAGCAGTACTTTTTAAAAAGAATTGTGGGAAATTGCAACTCATTTCCAAATAAGCAGTATTGGTTGATGAAGCAGATTACAAAAAACTTTAGTGTAACTAAACTTCACCATTAAATGTTTGGTGGGAAATGATTTTAGACGAGTGTAAGCCCAAGCATAAAATGATGTTGATTTCTAGGTAATTATTGACATCATTTGATAGGTTAGTATAGATAAACAAACAAACGTCATTAATTGTCACTGTTCAGAACTTCAATAATTAATAGAAATTGCTATGTGAAAAAGTAAATGGAATGTGGAAAATATGAGAAAATACCTTTTTTTTAAATAAAGTATTACCATGAATTATTCGGTAGGTAGATTGTATGTTAGAAGGGTAATAAAATAATTGAAAGATGAAAGCAGATTGAGTTGACTATTTATATATGATTACTAGTTTTATTATCCTGGAGTAGAATGGCAACGGCAAGTCAGTGGTATAAAATATTGCATATTATAACTCTTTTTCTGCAATGTGCGTAATTATATGAGTAAAAGTAGTTCATTAAAGTATATCAACAACGAAAGGTAAATGGAAAAA